TGTGAGGAAAAGGCTATCTGTTGACTGAATGTTCTTGATGTGTTCATCTGGCCTGCATTTGTTTCTTGGCTCATCCTAGTTTGCAAGGTGAAAGACAACCAGCTCTTTCCTTTCTCAGATATCCTGGAAGACATAAGGGAGGAGTGTCAGAAATACGGACCGGTGGTTTCCTTGCTTATTCCAAAGGAGAATCCTGGTAAAGGCCAAGTAAGTGAATGGAGGGAAGAGGCTGTATATTCCCACTACAGTTCCTGTGCTGCAGGACTGCTGCTCAGCTCCTGGAAATCTCCTGGCTGATGACAGTGCTAAAAATAGCTGGTTATCTTGAAGGACAGCACAGGTTCCTTCCTGGTTATGTAAGGTTGCCTAACCTGGGAGGTCCCCAAACAGCTTTAGCAGGGCAGCCGGGATATGGGAGGGAAGGGGAGAAGCCGATGGGTGGGAGAGGAGGCGTTGAAGATGTAAAGCATCATCATACTTTCTCCCATCTCACCAAATATGCTGCCCTTAGAAATGAGGAGCAAGAGGTGAAATTCCAGTTCAGGGGTGCAGCTCCTTCCTTTTTAGCTCCACTGCTCTGGGCTCAACCAAGGATAGAGGGGAAGAATTTGTTTGGGAACTGTTTCCCTGGTTGCAGGGGTGGGAGGGGGTGGGTGGCATGCTGCACTGGAAGTCCTATTTCTCCTCTCTGTCTTTCAGGTCTTTGTTGAATATGCAAATGCTGGTGATTCCAAAGCAGCCCAAAAAATGCTGACTGGAAAGATTTTTGATGGCAAGTTTGTTGTGGCTACGTTTTACCCACTGAGTGCCTATAAGAGAGGATATCTGTACCAAAACTTGCTGTAGGCAGTAGCAACAATCAGGAGAGTTGTCTTGCTTCTCTTCCTCATGTGTTTTACAGTTGAATGTACAAAAGAGCTTCCTAGCCCTGCTTTTGAGTCATCTGTGAAGGAGAGATGCAAAGGACTTAACTGGGCTTTGAAACCTTTACTGCTGCTTTGTGATGTGCAGAGGAGGCCGGGATGGCTTTCAGCGTGTGCTTGTGTGTGTGTTGTGCTTGCTCGTTTACATTGGGTGTGTGGCTTTGCCCTGACGGGCGCTCAGGTGGCAGGACTGGTGAGTATGGGAGCCTGGGAGGCTGAGCAGATCTTGGCAAGCACTTTTAAGTGATTTGAAATGAGACCACTTAAAGTCTTGGCCTTAGCACTTGACTTTGCTCTGGAGAGAGGATTTCTTTGTTAAGCTTTCTTATAATGCATGTGCTCTTCTCCAGTGCGGAGGAGGAGGAAGGTTTCCCTGCCTTTTGTTGATATCTACGGTAAGTAAAGAACCAGAAGCACCATCCTCTCTAAACTAGACCAGGAAGACTTTTGAGTCTTCACATCACGTAGAGCAGAGAGGGGCAGTGAAATCAGATCTGCTGAGCCTATGGCGTTACCCTGTCGCCGTCTTGTGACCCAAGAAGAGCCATCTGTCTGACCTGGCACAGATGGCATGCTGGGCTTAGGCAGAGTGGGTGACGCTGCCTGCGGTGAGCTGAACTGGCTTGTATGCCTGGAGTGGGCAGGGAGTGATGGCAGATACGTGTTGTCAGAGCAGTGCCAGCCATGGTCCCAACACAACCTGTAAGCACTTTGTAGCCTGAGGTGATGTGAAAACCCTGTCGTGTGGAGTCATCTTTCTAGCATATACCCTGTGCTGGCACTGATGCTCCCTAGCTCTGATGCCAAATCATCTGTAATACATAAGCATCTTTAGGTGATATTTTAGGAAAGGAGTGCTACAGCACGCAGTATTCTTTGTGTCTCAGCAGGAGTCTGCCCTGTGAGTCTCACAAGAAAGAACAAATATTTGTCTGTCGTAGGTCCCATGCTTGGCTTTTCTGTGTTGTGCGTTTTGGTTTTGGATTAACCCATTAGACTTGTAGATTAGAAGCACTGACACTTTTGGTCCTTTATAGGTTACACAAAGGGCCTGAGGCAATCTGAGATCCTGTATGGAAAGGGCTCACTCAGTCATCAGACTTGACTGGCCAGGAGAAGGTCTTTCCTAGTGTCGGGGACAACAGCCACATGCTTTTGGGTAAAAAAAAAAAAACTGGGCGAGCAGCATCACTGCTCCCTCCAGAGCAAGCTCTCTGCTCATGTGGCTGTAATGCACAGGCAGAAGCTCGCTCAGGCATCTGCTGGCCTGGGTGGCTGTTTCCCAGGGGTGTGCAAACCCATACACCCCGTGGAGCCTCTCCCTGCAGGGGTGGGCACTTTGCTCCTGGCAAGCGCAGCGTGAAACAGCCCTACTTAGAGGGGGACCAGCTTGCAGCCCTGGTACCAGTTTTAGTGAGGAGGAGAGCCCTCGTGAATTCTTTTCTCCAGCTGAAATACTTGCGGGCAGCTGCCTGAACTGTCTCTGATCTTCCCTGGAATAATACCTGAATTACCTTGCAGTTTACTTTTTGCATCTTGCTGATGCTGGACTTGCTGGAATCCTGCACTTAGAAGTTCCTCTTGATTTTTGCCCTGTGCGTGCGTGTGCGGTGTGTCAGAAGATCCGATGTCTGTAGCATTTCATGAGTCTGAGTTACTCTCTGTGCTGGTGTACAGGCCTGTCTACTGTGGCCCTTCCCAAACTCCCCTAGAAAGGACCAATCTCTTTGAATTTTTCTGTTGCCTTTGAGGTGGTAGGTTTTCCAGGGAAAAAATATCCCACAATGAGTTTCAAGGTGTGATTTGCTGATCAGACTTTTTCTGGGAATGATGCCACTTTGGTGTACATAGCTGTAAAGCAGCTTCGCATAGATGGGGTGTGTGATTCATCACTTTTAATTTAACTGTCCTTGCAGTGAAGCACCTTTTAGTGTCTGGGAGGAATTGGATGATTAACTGGATGAGGGTTTTTCCGATGTGAAGAGCAGTGTTTAAAGTATTCTAAGTATTGGTAGGTATTGGCTGACCTCCTCAGCTCTGAGTTGTTGCTGTCCCTGGCGGGCTGAGCCAGGGGTGAAAGCACTTTGGCCCAGAAATTCAGGTGTTGAATGCCATCGTGTCAGCAGCATTAAGCTGGCTGCGTGTGTGCCTGTCAGCTGGCAGAGGCAGACCCGAGAGCTCCTGCCCCGCTGAGTGCCAGCCCGCGTGGGGATGCGGGGAGCTCCCCTTGGTGCAGGGTGTGAGGTCTGTCACCTACAGCGGTACCAGGACAGGGAGTTGCCAGGGTGCGGGTGCAGAACTTAAATGCGTTTAAGTTCTCACATGCATTTGTCTAGGACTATGAGCTGCTCTGTCATCTTTCAAGCATATCTCTCTTTCAGTCAGAATTGTGCTTTGGATTTGCAACTAAAGAGCCGTACCAGGATTAATCTTTAGAGAGGAGCTACAACCTGTTCCTGCAGCATGGTAGAGCTGTTCCACCATAGTTTGGCTGGGGTTTTGTTCAGCTGCTTTAATAGGAGCTAAATAAATCTTCAAGATGCAAACTCTTGCCACCAGATTTTCTCTCCGGATGCTCATTGACCAGGCTTGAGCACTGAGCTGGGCAAAAACCCCAAAGCTGCTTTTTTTTTATTTTCCTCGTGGCAAGAATTGAAGATGCTGATCCCTGTCCTGTCACTGGATCCAGCCCCTGGCTTCCCTCCACAGGCTGTGGGGTACAGGGAGGTTTAGAAACTCCTCAGAGCAGAAGCATTTTATCATTATCCTTCACTCTCTGCCTTCAGAGTCTTTTTCTATCAAGCTGAAGCTCCCTCTGGTTTCTCAGCGACCTATTGGTTGCTTGGCATATTTTTCAGCCCTGCTAAACCCTGTGAGTTTCTTAACTCTAGATTGTATCTGAAGTGTGTGCGGTGATTCAGTCCAAGGCATCTGTCGCGGTGTGTGCCTGGATGGGCCTGGCTTTCCTCGTCTCCACATTACTGCCTGCTTGAGTCGCAGAAGCGTTGAGGCTTTCCACTCAGATGCTTGCTGGGTTTCTCGATCTGTGCTGCTGACACAGTTCCCTCCAAAGAGCCTTCGGTGTAGCACTGACCTGTGTGGTCCTAGCTAGGCAACAGCTAGACATGAAAACCCGCAGGCTGCCTTTGAGGGAGGAATCTGCTTTCGGGGGGGGAAAGGGATGAAAGATGAAGCCTCTGGAGACAGCCAGGGAAGGCTGGCGCTGCTCCGTGGGGTGCCAGGGCAGGCACCTGGCCCTCCTCCCTGGGAGGAGGCAGTCCAAGGGGCTGCATCCCCGTGGAGCGTGTGTGTGAACGGGAAACGCGTTGGCGCTCAGCTATTCCTTGGTGGTGGTTGGGTTTTGTAGCTGATCTGACATGAAATGTCACTGCCAATCAAAGAATAGCCGTCCTTCCTCTGCCACCGATGTCTGTGTGGGAGCAATGAGGGAGGGAGAAAGTTCTTTACACTTCCACCTATTTATTGTATGCAAGGAGGGTAACTGGTTTTTAAATCGCTGGCCGAAGCACAAGTCCGCTCCGATCTTAGTTCTGTTCCTGATTTTATTCTCCCTGGTCTCCAGCCTCCTAACAGCATAGCCTGAGCACTGTGTTGCACCCAGGTTGTCTTTCCAGAGCGTTCAGTACACTTCCTCCCTCTGTGCCAGATCCTGTAACCGCGTGCCTCCCTTCGGGTTAGATGTCAACTGTTGTATCCCGTCACGCACTGTTGCTGAGCAGATGTGTGCTTGATACAGGTGATTAATAAATGATGCTTCAGTACAAAGTGGTTGTCCAGCATGCTTTTCTTGCGGGACCGCCGGTGAAATGCCACGTAGCTGAGCAAGTTCTTTATCGCCCTGCGCCAGGGCCTCCGTCTGGGGGGGACGGGGCTGTGACCCAGCCAGGGTGGTGCTGGCATCTTGCGCTTGGCACCCGCAGCTGTGGGGACTCGGTCGCCCCTTGCTCAGCCCCACCAGCGCGGCTGAAAATCCTGGTGGGAGCGCCGGGTGACCTTTGCCCGGCCGGAGCCCGCCGTCGCTCGGGGCTGTGCCTCCTGCGGCAGCACCGCTTACTCATGCCGCGCATGGGCGCTTTCCGCGCCTGCTCTGGTGTAACGGTTTCCGAAGTGATATCATCCGGAGGGAAAATCGCCTCTCGGCTGACGTGGGCCGCTCCCCCGGGAGATGAGGCTGTCAGTTGACCAGCTCCGGGCGGTGCGTGGCGGCAGCCGGAGCCAGGGGGGGATGCGTGGGGTGAGGCGGCGGCAGCCTGACCAGGTTTTGTGCTGCAGCCCGCGCTGATTTTACACGCTCTCCTAATTGTGGGGCAAAGGATCTCCGCAGCGGTGTGCGCTGGGGCTGACCCCGGCAGGGCTCCTGGGGCACGGCTGGCCGAGAGGGCTGCTCTCTGTGGGGCTCCTCCTTTGCAGAGACCCTGCCTGCCCTTTTTGGGGTGGTTTTTTTGGTGGATTTCGGGTTGTTTTCCCTGCGTGCCCCTACCCTCTTGCTGCAGGAGGGGAGGGGGACTGCTGCCAGCCCCACCAGCGTGGAGACCGCTGCCCCGCGCCCCTGCCCGGGGGCTCCCTGGAAGGCCCGCCCTTCTCCTGCCCGGGGGCAGGCGGCGGCCGCAGCTCCCAT